GAACTTGTCCCTAGTGGACTATATGAACAAACATTTCCATGTCACGATGCCCTTGACATATTGCACACTAACTGCTCTGACTACTGGAACTCATTCAATATTGTACAAGATAACTGACCCTGTCAATGAGGTGGCAAATGTTGACAATACCCAATGAAACAGTGTTTACTCACATCTCTTTATGCCTTAGATCTTTTAATAATTTTTGTCAGCAAATTTTTGAACCGAGAACATGAATTTTAGTACAAATAAACCATTTGCAAATGTTGGACCTAGAGGAAAGTTTAAAAATAAACTTAATATTAACTAATTAATATCAAATAAATTTAAAAATAAACTAAAATGTTAACTAAGTAAAAGTATTTTACTGAGAATAGCCATTATTAATGTTTAGCAGGCATCTAAATAATGCGCACCTTTGTGCAAAGCTTAGTGTGGCAGGAAAACCCAGACGTGGAAGACAGCTCTGAGGCCTTACCGAGCAACTTCCCGCGGGGAGAGAGTCCTACAAAAACAATGCCAGGAAGTTAAAATAGGGTGAGGGGGAAGCAAGCACTGAGGTACTCTTCCTGCCTCTGGCTCCAAACAGAACCCTGATGATATTATGAGGTTGTTCTAAAATGCCATCTCAAAGCGTTGTCGGCACTCAGATCTTACTGAATCTGAAGTCTGGAAGCTGGTCAGGTGGGAGGGCTCCTGAGAGGACATCCCTACGGGGGTAAAACCAGGATAGACATCACAGTGCAACTAGCCATCCTCGGTCCCGTTCCCATGGGTTTATTGGTTATAATCTGTCCTTTCAGTTTGGGCCACCACAGCAGATGGCCGGGGCCCTGTTAAATTCCAAGCTCGTGCTGTGGGCACTGCTGGATTGTGCACCCTGAGCTTGGCTCCCAGCAGACATTCTAAAACTGACGTTCACTGACTGACACACCAGTGACTAGTACCTTTTACATGAGAAAAAGGTGAATGGAGCATATGTAAAAGTTCTTGGAATTATATTATTCAAAGCCAATACCCTGAGATGCCCTGGGGACAGGGTACCATTTATATGTATAAAGCTAATTAGAGAAATTTTATTTTGAGTGAAATTTTGAGGAATGATACACATATACAAGCTTTTCATTCTCTAATCAATAGGCTTTATTGTGAAATATGGACATAATTTTTAAAAACACATATATAGCATATATTAAATATATATATATATATATACTATATGGTGATAGTAATAACATTTATTATATATATGGTAATACACTGCAGAGTGCCTTTATAAACTGAAATGTTATTCATCTATAGGCATTATTACTATTATCATAATTAATGAAATGTATTATTATTAAGCACTAAGCATAGTAAAAATCCTTTTATTTATTTTTATATAAATATGCATATATTACCTACAGATACATACATATTGTTGATGTGCAAACCTGTAGATAATTTTTATGAGTTTATTTGAATTTATTTGAACCAAACTGATGACATGCTGGGAAGCAAGATCGCAGATGTTCCAGAAAATGACTGTTCTTTTTTGTTGTTGTTGAAAGTATTACAGATGTCCCCCTTTTTTCCCATTGAGCCCCCTTCTTCCCACTCCCACCCATCTCCTGCCTTCCCAGTCTAATGTCCGTGTCATTGGTTGTGCATATATTCATATAATTTATTTGGTTTATCTCCTCTCTCCCCACCCCCCCAACCCTCTGAGGTTTGTCAGTCTGTTCTCTACTTCCACGATTCTAGATCCATTTTGGTCGACAGCTTATTTTGTTCATTATGTTCCAAAAATAAGTGAGATAGTGTGGTATTTGTCTTTCTCTGACTGGCTTATTTTGCTTAGCATAGTACTCTCCATGGTGTCTCAAAGGGTAGGAGATCCTTCGTTTTTTACAGCTGCATAGTATTCCATTGTGTAAATGTACCACATCTTTTTTATCCACTCATCTACTGATGGGCACTTGGGCTGTTTCCAGACTTAGCTATTGTAAATAGTGCTACTATGAACATAGGGGTGCATATATTTTTCCTGATTGGTGTTTCAGGCTTCTTAGGATATATTCCAAGAAGTGGGATCACTGGGTCAAATGGCAGTTCCATTTTTAATTTTTTGAGGAAAAACTATATTTTTTTCCATAGTGGCTGTACCAGTCTGCATTCCCAACAGCAGTGTACTAAAGTCCCCTTTTCTCCACACCCTCGCAAACATTTGTTGTTTGAGGAATTGTTGATGGCCACCATTCTGACAGGTGTGAGGTGATATCTCATAGTTATTTTAATTTGCATCTCTCTGATGATTAGAGATGTTGAGCATTTTTTCATGTGTCTCTTGGCATTTGTATGTCCTGTTTGGAGAAGTGTTCATTCAGGTACCCTGCCCATTTTTTAATTGAATTTTTGTCTTCCTTTTGTTGAGTTGTATGAGTACTCTATATATGTTGGATATTAACCCTTTATTTGATGTATCGCTGGCAAATATGTTCTCTCAGAGAGTGGGTTCCATTTTCATTTTGATACTGGTTTCTTTTGCTCTGCAGAAGCTTTTTAGTTTCATGCAGTCCCACGTATTAATTTGTGAAAATTATTTTAAAAGTATTTGTGGGACAGGAGAAAAGTGATTAGACTAGATTTTCATCTGAGAAACACGGACTCATAGAAACTGTCAGAGAAGAGGTGATCAGTTTTATGCAATTAAAAACAATACAAATGCTCAAAATATATTATGTGGCCCTAAGACATTCTCTCCTCAGAGGTGGTTCTTGACCAGCAGACTATCAGGGTCATCCACAGAGGCATGTGGGGGAGCTGGGGAGTGAGCAGTGGGCACGTGAGGTCTGAGAGCCCCGTTCATGATGCTGGCTGAGTCCCAGCTTGAGAATCACCTCTTTACTGTGTGGAAGTAACGGAGCTGAGAGAAACCTGATGGCTCTGACTGCAGGTCGTCAGTCTCTGAGAACGTTCTGCTGTAGATCTCTGCCTTAAAGTGTATCACATCCCCTGGATTTTAAAAAGCCATGTTGCTTTCGACTGGTTTTTAAGATACCTCTTTCATTGAGCCAAGTTGACACCTTGGCTCATCTGTCATTCATCTATATTCTGAGCACTGTCAGTGAGGTGCTGACATTTCCTAAATCCTAAGGCAGGGCTTATGGTCCAAATGGAAGACTGGATTTTAGGTAAGGCTGTGCCAGAAGTCACTGGTCATGTACTCATCATCCACATCTCTGTTCTCCTTAGAGCGATCTGCACACTCACCAGGAAGGCAGTAATTGAGCTGTGCTGCTATTAATAATAATACAGATGAGAAATACTGTGTGTCCTTCCTAACATCCTGCCCCACCCTCACTTGGAAAACATCTTTATAAACTAATATGTTTCTCTTTGCCCTGTGCCTTTCAGCCGCCGCCTCTGTATCCTTGCTCCGTTATCTGTACTCACCTGTGATTCTTTCTCTGCTGTCACTGGCATATTCTCCATGATCCCTTATTCTGTGCCTAAAAAATGCTCTGAAGCGATTTCAAGTATTCAACTGCATTAAACAAAACAAACAAATCTATTTTTCCTAGTAGCTAGATCATTCTATAAGTACCATACCATAGTTATTCACCTTCACTGCCTACTTTCTTAAAATAATTAACAATACTGTCTGACCCTAGTGTATTCTTTTAACCCAAATACAGTCTGTTTTCTGTTTCCGTTGATGAAATCCTCACATAGGGTCAACAGAGCCCTTCCAATGGCCAGGTCACAGGTCCTCTTTGTAAGCCTTATACTTTCCTGCTCTGTATTCAACCTGTTAGACCAGTGGTCCCCAATTTAGTCTTCATAACACTCCCCTGGAGTGCTTGTTAAAAATGCATATTCCCTAGCCAAGGCACAGAGTATCTGTTTCAATAAGGCTGTGTTGGGATCTAGGAATCTGCATTTACATGAGGCAAACCAAGTGAATCTAATGGAGGAGGCATTCAGATCCTCCTTTGACCACACCCCTTCATGGGCTTCAACTCTATCCCAACAGTACCTCAACCAATGCAGTCAACTCTGTCCCCTCTTCTGCACCTAAGAACTACATTTCCATACCTGTCTGTCTACCTGACGCCTCAGACTATCCCAAAGTTAACGCACCATACATCCCAAGAACTCACTCCCCAGCCGGGGTACTCTGAGGCAGCAACATCATTCTAGTCACCCAACTACAAAGCGTTTTTAATTCCAGCTGCCTCACGTCATACCAGTTCGTGAATGTAGCAGTCCTCACCTCTGTCCTCAGTGTTTCCGAAGTGTGGGCCTGGAGGAAGCTGTTTGGATTCCACTGTCCGCTTCCCGAATGGCCTGTCACAAGTCTCCTTCAAACTTGCGTGCTCAACATCAGCGCCGATCTTATCATTCTTCTGCTAATAAATCTTGGCGAGGCCCCGATTCATCTTTAACACCGTTCACCAGCGTATACCAGCGCATTCTCGTGTCACTACAGGATCTTCACCCTCCTCCAGTCCGCCCATCATTCTCATCTCTTAGCACTTCTTCATCTCCCTTCAGTCCCTCCAGCCTCTGGATCCCGTCTCCTTGGCATTACGACCCTGGGCCTCCAAAAACTCTTTCTTCCAGGGATCATCGTAAGAGTATAAATTAGTATGTCATTCATGGCAATAACAACTTCTGTGGTAACCATGAGGGTGCTGTCCCTATTACATTATTACAGCTGTACTGAGTATAAGCATAGCCAATATTTATTGATTTTTTTCTCTATGTACCCTCGAGTACTAGACTCATTTAAGTATCACAAGTACTCGTACTTCATCTCCATTTTATAGATGAGGAAACAGAGACACAGGAAGGTTGTGCAGGTTCCCGAAGTCACACAGCCAGTAAGTGGCTGAGCCAGGATGGACTTGGGCTTTCAGCAATTTGGCTTGAGGACCTAGTACTCCCTTCTGCTTGGGGAGGAAACACGATTGGGCCTTTCACGGCAGCTGATGTCTGTCCTCCTCTGCCCGCAGGATAAAGAAGCTGAAGGAGACGCTGGTGGCCATCCAGCAGCTGGATAAGAACATGAGCAGCCTCAGGACATGGCTGGCTCACATTGAGTCAGAGCTGGCCAAGCCCATCGTCTATGACTCCTGCAACTCGGAAGAAATACAGAGAAAGCTTAATGAGCAGCAGGTAAAACTTAAGACAATGGAAGAAAATAAATAGGCTTTTGAATATCTGTCCTCCTGGCCAGGACAGAGCGGGGAGGTATGAGAGGTGCATCGGGATGGAAAGTCAGGGGAAGTAGGGCCGGTTTAGTGAGAAAGGGGAGGCCTTGGCCAGGCAGGTGTTTGGGGCCAATAAGTTCCATGTCACCGCAGAGTGAACTCTTAAGAAGGTATGCCATCATAGGGTCAAGGTTGTTGGTTCACCAAGAAGCCATCCTAAGATGGTAGTTTAGTTGAGCTGCAATGAAGTATCGAAAATAATGCTGATGGTTTCATTTATTTGTGAGTCACTAGCCCACTACCATAAACTTAGAAAGAAGTCCTTTTTCCCCTGCATATAATAGTGTTTGGAGAAAATTACAGTGCATACTTAGATGTTTTAGAGTCCAAAATAATTTTGTTTCTCAAGAAGGATTACATGACCTGCCTGCAGACCACACACAGTCATCTCTCCTTCATGTGTGCACCAAAGACAGCTCACCACACTGGTTCCCAGCACACGGTACACAGCCCAGCAAAGCAAAAGAGGGCGACCCTCAAAAATGCATATGGAGGGGATTTTCATCTCCCACTCCCCTTGCTTATTTTTACTAAGCATAACAGAGTGTGTTTGTCATAAATAAACACTGTAAATGCCCTGCAGAAGTATCACTACTCCATACCTTTAGATTGTCCTGGGAAATTCTGTCCACACTCTGATTATTTTCATTAGTATTTAGGCCACTATAGCTGAAGTTGCTTAACTTAAAAAGTGTTTAAACTATATAAACAGATCTATTTCTGCAATCTTATGCAATGATTTATGTATTTACTTTCTTTTACAAACTATTTGAAGCAACGAGAATAGATATTAAAATAGACTTCTTTTAGGTGTTGGGTTTACTTTGCTATTTAAGTGAGCATTTCCTTTGCAAACAATTCTTAGCAGGATAAGTTTTTTTCATTTTTATAAGATTAAATCCTCCGATGGACTCTGTGATGTTTGAAAGTCTGATGCTTGAACTTTGGGGGGGTTGTGGTTGGCCTTCAACAATTTAAACTTCCTGGAGAACATAGGAATGATAACTGGAAGTGATAAAGTTAAAATGTAATGACCAGTATTGTAATTTAGTAAATGTAAGAAAATCAAAACAGTATCTAATTAAATACGGCAAACCGATCATATGCACTGGTAGCCCCACCCACTCTGCTAAAACTCTAATAAATGGACAGTGAAGGGAGAAAAGGCCAAAACCCACAATGTCAAAGAGAACAGAGGAGATGCTAGAGAGGACAGACACCCCACAGAATTTTGGAAGAAAGCGAACAGATGAATAGCGACAGCGTGAGCAGATGGGGAAGGAGAAAAATGATCCAGGCCGCAGAGTTCCACAGAGGCTCAGGAAGAGGCGACATCGAGTCTGCAGGGCTTTGACATGGAAGAAGACGGCGCTATGAGACTCAAGATCTCCCCACTCCCCGAGCCCCGCTAGCCAGGCAACTCTGCTTTGTGTTCTGTCGTCGAAGACCTGAAGATTAGTCTCTGGAGAAAGCAAATCAGACGGACTTTGGACTTGGGGATACAGGACACCATCGAGGCTGGACCCACTGCATTAAAAATAGATTCAGTGCAAGGCTCCGACAGACGGTTGACTCCCGCCCCACTCCCCCAGATCCCACTGCCCGGAGCAGGGCTGGTGCCACAGCCGGGAGTTATGCTTCCAACTCAGGTGTTCCATCGAAGTCCCCAAAGAAGTATAAACAAAACGAAGAGGAGGAAATAATCAAAGTAGTAATGTAAAAAAAAGTTTTCCAACTTGAAAACATACACTTATAGAGCACAAACCCTATAAGCACCCAGGACATTTAAAAAAAAAAAAAAAAAGCAAAGCCATTATAACACATGATGGAGGTTCCACAAAAAATTAAAAATAGAACTATTCGATGACCCAGCAATTCCACTTCTGAGTATGTATCGGAAGGAAATGAAATCACTGTCTTGAAGAGATATGTTCAGCCCTGTGTTCATTGCAGCCTTATTTGCAACAGTGAACACATGTGAACAAACCTACGTAGTCATCCATGGGTAAATGGGTAAATAAAATGTAATATATAGATCTGTAGGTGAATATATAGATATGTATAGATATATATAGATAGATATATACACACACACAATGGAATATTATTCAGCCATAAAAATAAGAAAAGACTGCAACTTACGACAACATGGATGAACTTGAGTTCATTGTGCTAAGCAAAATAAGTCAGACAGAGAAAGAAAAATAGAAACAATAAATCAGTGGTTGCCAGGGTGGGAGTGGGAGGTGGGGGTAGGGACTGGATGAAGGTGGTCAAAGGGTACAAACTTCCAGTTATAAGATGAATGAGTTCCGGAGATGTAATGTATAGCTTGGTGATGCTACTTAACAATACTGTGCCATTTATTTGAAAGTTGCTAAGGGTAGATCTTAAAAGTTCTCAACACACACACACATTTTAGCTGTGGAAATGGATATTAACTGAACTTACTATGGTAATCATTTCATAACAGAGACATACATGAAATCCTCACATTGTATATCTTAAACTTACACAGTGTTATTACATCTCACTAAAGCTGGAAGAAAACATTTGGGTACACGGGTAAAATAAAATCAAAATCTGTAACTTCTTTAAATGTGTGGACTATGTTCATGCACCTAACACTTCTTCCAAATGTATAGTCTTATACAGGATGCACTTTAAAACCTAAAAGGTATTATCTCATTCACAGAAGTCTCTGTCTTTATCTTTGAGAAAATATTGAGTTCAAATTTTATAATATTGTATTTTATATTCTTTAGATCCGTAATTTTCATGATAACTGCCACATAACTAAAAGAGGTTATGCAAGAGATTTGAAAGGACTGTTTAGTGAAAAATATTTTGATAGAATTTATCTTTTTGTGTCTAGTTTATACAATCTCCAAAAATTAATCGAAGGCACTTTATTGCACTCTACAAGCTAACATTTGATAGGAAGCATTGATTGGAACATAGTGTTAAGGAGAAAAAGAGGAGGAAGAATAGACACACGAGAATATAAATCCCAGCTATCTGAGTTAGTTGAGGAATGATTTACTACACAAATATCCCCTAATAAATGGTTAGGTCAAACTTTGATAAATATTTCACGTCCTTCAATGCATGAGGTTTCATCAACTTCATTTATGAAGTATAAGCTCAAAAGTATGAGAAAATGAATCTAGAAATATTTCAGCTATGTGAGCAATGCCAAAATACAAACTGAACAAATGAAATAGACTACATCAACTATATTAAGAATAAAGTGAATTTCTTTAGTGATTAAAAAAATGAATCTTGATCCAGACTCTACTTCACAGGTATATCACTTCCATCCCAATCCAACCATCAATCAATCAATTGATCAAAAGAATACGTGGGTTTCTGTTAAGAGCTGGCACTTAAAAACTGGGATTTGATCTCTCGAGATCTTCAAATTGTTTTAAACAGTTAATTCCACCATTGTTAAAAGACACCGTGGGTTTAAAGAACCTAGGTTCTCAACTATGTATGATGACATCATCATTCTCATCAGCTTCCTCAGTGAGCAATTTTATTTAAAAAGAAATTTTTTTTTATTGATTTTAGAGAGAGAGGAAAGGAGAGGGAGAGAGAGAGATAGAAACATCAATGAGAGAGAACATCAATGGGCTGCCTCCTGCATGCCCTCCACTGGGGATTTGGTCTACAACCTGGGCATGTGCCCTGACCAGGAATCGAACTGGCGACCTCATCAGTGAACAATTTTAAATGTAGGAAATAGGTTATGATGATAAACAAGGTACCGAACTTCTCCAGAGTTCTACCTTGTGAAATCTTTATATTAACTGCAAAAAATATCAGAGCAAAACATACATTATTTTTTCTATTGAGCTTTTAATTCAGTTTTCTTAAAGTGTTACATCATTAAGAGTGAGGCCTACCAGTATCCTATTTTCCTTTTCTTTGATACAGCTCTAGAATATGCCTAGGTTTTTCCCTTGTTCATTAAAAAAAGGATGTCAATAAAGCCTTCCTCCTTCCCTACAGGAGCTCCAGAAAGACATCGAGAAACACAGCACAGGTGTGGCCTCCGTCCTCAACCTGTGCGAGGTCCTACTGCATGACTGTGACGCGTGTGCCACAGACGCCGAATGTGATTCCATCCAGCAGGCCACACGAAGCCTAGACCGGCGGTGGAGAAATATCTGTGCTATGTCTATGGAACGGAGGCTCAAGTAAGCCGGGTGTTCACCATGGGGAAAGAGGAAGGACCAAAGAGGAAAACAATTACCCAGAGTAAACACTGCTCACTAGTTCCTTTGGGTTGCACTGTCCAAAAATATCCTTGGTTTTCCAAACTTGTCATTGTCTACATTTAGTTGAGGAAATAGCAGATATAAAGGTAACGTACAAATATAACAAGACAAGCTATACCTGACTGAGCAGTTTAAATATAATTCAGAAAAAGATGCCTTTGCTGAACAAGTATAATGTTACAGAATTGGTGGTTGAAAAATAACATCCTCTTGTTAAAAAGGAAATAATAAAGCAAAGGGCTTGTCTGTAAGCCCTTGGAAATTCAAGGCAGTAAAATATAGTGATGTGGTAGAAAATTATCATAATGGTTTAAGGCATATACTCTTTGTGCTCTCTGGGGAGCTCTTGAAAGCGTAATACTTGCCGTGCTGTCATAGATTGATTTTGATGAGGGTGGGTTTGATGTTGGACTTAGATGGATTTTCAGACCTTGTTTTGTTTCAACGAAACCTTGCCACGCGTGTGCACTGCACACATGGTGTTGCACTTCTAAACTTCCTTGCGCTTTTCCAGAAAAGTTCCTGTCATGTGCATGTAATGATCACTTTGACTAATTCCAAACCCAGGGCAGGATGTGTGATTTAAAAAAAAAAAAAATGAAGCAGCTGCTTCATTTCAGCTCGAACAGTTGTCTGTTTTTCCCTCCAGTCCAATTTGGCTCCGGGCACGGTGATTGTTTGGCTCCACAGTTGCTTGTTCGGGCTCTTCCTCCCGGACAGTCAGACACTGTGCTTTCATTTTCTGCCTCAGGATCGAAGAGACATGGCAGTTGTGGCAGAAGTTTCTGGATGACTACTCGCGTTTTGAAGATTGGCTCACGACTTCCGAGAGGACGGCCGCCTTCCCCAGCTCCTCTGGGGTGCTCTACACGGTTGCCAAGGAGGAGCTGAAGAAGTTCGAGGTGACTTACGTTCCAGATCGCTAACCCCTGTTTCGCCGTGAGAGTAGCCAGCTGGTAGTCGCTTTCCCAAGGCAGAAACTCACTTCAGCCACACATTTTTTGTTCAAACAGCTAGGAGGTGACTGCGATCATGTTCATTTTTACCTCATAAGCAGGCAAAGAGTTGGGAAGGGAGGTGTTTAAGACCATCAAGAATTAGAAAATAAAGCAAGGAAGAGGAACTTTATTAGCAAATAAGAATCATGATCTCCTCCCCCAAAAGATCTTGGCATTGGTTTTATTTCACAATCCTTCACCGACAACCATTTAAGATTATGATGTGATGGTTTCCCGCACGATGAAAACCTATCTCCCAATCTGTTCATTTCTTTTTACCTAATTGGAGCGTGGATACATATTTTTTTAAATCAGTAATAAAATAGAGTTGGCTCCAGATTGAATAAAACGTTTTAATCATGAGCCACTTCTAATTATAAATGGAGAGCAGTACCGTTCTTGAGTCACAAAGACTTTTCAATTTTGTAGAGACAAAAGTAGCCGCGGTCTCATCATCCTCACAAAGACAGGACTCATTCAATAGCCGACTCCCATCCCCGGTCTGTTTGTGCAATCCTGAGTCTGCTCCCTCACTGATGGGATGGAACCTCGACCCTTGTCTGGCCGAACATGAAGTGGACCATTATTTTAATTTCAAGTTTCTTTTCCCATCATTCCCCACTGATAGGCAGACGTGTGGACTCACACACACTGACAGCAAACGGCTCTGGTGCACACGCCTTGCAGAAATCATCTTGGTTACTAAACACCCTGAGATGTTTAGAAATCAGAAGAAAAAGCAGCTGCATTCATTTTTACCTTACAACATTTATTAAGGCCTGTGATCATAAATACAGAATTTGATTCTTGTTCTTTCTAGTGGGGTTTAGAATCTAAGGGTCGGGGATGGGCAGCTATATGTGCCTATGAAAATGTTGAAATACTGTGTGAAATAAGTGTTATTCTGACATCTGAATATGGATTTGTATGTAACTGCCCCACTGAATTTTGGGGGTAAATTTCCTATCTAAAAGACTTTTCCTGGTTAAAAAAAAACCACACACACACAAAGCACAATATCTCAGCAGTGAGTTGCAGGTCACCCCATGGGAACCAGTGCTTCTGAAGCCTTCCTGTATTGAATCTGAGTACATCCAGCTCCGGAAAGGTTAAAACCTTCTATAATTGGCTTATACTACAAAGCAGATTACATAAGATCCTTTGGGATGCTATTTTAGACTCTCAGTTTTTATGACAAATGTTAGTCATATCGTTAGCTCCTGTAATAAATGATTTTATCATTTATCTCATACTTACTTTTCTTACAAGACAAAAATAAATCACAAAGGCAAAGTTTCATTTGAGGCCAGACTTTGCCTGTTCCGTGGCATGGATGTGTGGGGTGGAAAAGCTGAACTCTTTGTTTTAACCTCTTCCTTTTCTGGGACAATAATTTAAAGTGTTATAGAGAAGAAGATTTGATTTTCTCAGGTGAAGGCTCTTAAAGCAACTCTGAGAAGGAAAACCATTCCAGAGGCAGAAATGTAGCAGGTTGTGAACAGTGCGATGCCACAGGAGCCAAATGCTGGGAATTAGGTGAGGACAGTCCAGCTAATTATACACGTTTCTGTCTAAGGCCATGATGAGACTCAGTTGTAAGTCATACACACAAGTTTGGGGGAAAAAAGGAAAAAAAAAAACCATTTTATTTTTGGCCAAATGATTCTTATACTAGGGCTATGCTAGATTGTAGAGAGAAAGAATTAAATGTTTTACCTTCAGAAACTCTGAACTGTGCATAGAGTAACCTCAAAAGTTAGTAGCTCTGGCCGGTGTGGTGTAGAGGAGGCAACAGATGGATGTTTCTCTCTCACATCAATGCTTTTCTCTCTCCCTCCCCCTCCCCCTCCCTCTCTCCACTCCCTACCCCTGCCTCTCTGCATCTGGGGAAAAAAAAAAAAACTTAAAGAGACACTACCATGTAAGGTGCTACATTTTAGTTCTAAATGTTTTATTAAAAATGAAAAGAAGCCCTGGCCAGTTTGGCTCAGCGGTTAGAGCGTCGGCCTGCGGTCCGGAGACACCCCCCCCCCCCCCGGTTTGGTTCCCCCTAAGGGCACGTACCTCGGTTGCAGTTTGTCCCCGGCTCTGGTTGGTCATGCGGGTGGCAACCACTCGATATGTCCCTTTCACATCGATGTTTCTCTCTCTCTCTCTCTCTCTCTCTCTCTCTCCCTCCCTCCCACTCTATCTGTACAAAAAATGCAAAAATGTCCTCAGGTGAGGATGAAAAAAACAAACAAAAAAAACGAAAAGAAATAGAGCGTGATCCAAACATTTTTTTTAATGTAAAGTTACTTGTATTTTACTAAACTACTTATCTTAAAAGTTCATAATAGCTTGCACTTAAAGGACATTCTGCAAAAGGTAGTTTTAATTTTTTTTTTTTTTATCCTCACCCGAGGACATTTTTCCATTTTTTGTTCAGATAGAGTGGGAGGGAGAGAGAGGAAGAGAGAGAGAGAGAGAAACATCGACGTGAAGGGACACATCGAGTGGCTGCCACCCGCACAACCAACCAGGGCCGGGGACAAACTGCAACCGAGGTACATGCCCTTACCGGGAACTGAACCCGGGTCTCTCTGGACCGCAGGCTGACGCTCCAACCACTGAGCCAAACCGGCCAGGGTGGTAGTTTTAATTTTTTAATGGACACCAGACTTGAGGCAATTTCTGGACTTTTAGGAAATTACGTATCTTAGAAATAGTTCTTTTACAGAGATCTTTCCTCAGTATTGACATCAGGAATTTTGAATATTTCAAACTCATTTCAACATACATAAATGTTTTTGTAATGAGTTTGTTTTATGGGTAAAATTTGTTCTGGCTGTTAAGTATCTTAAAAGCTGTATTTAATATGTACATGTGTAAATTCTATATGTATAAGTGTATATTGAATACGTTATATATGTATGTGTATTTGTATATATACATATATATTTATTAGTATTTACCATTCTCTTTTATATATTTTTTGATCCTCCCCCTCCCCTTACGCCTCACTGATTCCATTGCTGTCCTTTCACACGGGGGCCTGTCTGCTCACTGAGACTGTCCTTTCCCGTCCGTGATCCCAGCCCCGCGTCGCAGGGCGAGGCCCAGGGGCCCTGGCCGAGAGCCGTCACAGATCTCCCTCACCACGGGCTTCTCTGTGGTCTTAGGCTTTCCAGAGGCAGGTGCACGAGAGCCTGACCCAGCTGGAACTGATCAACAAGCAGTACCGCCGCCTGGCCCGAGAGAACCGCACCGATTCTGCCTGTCGCCTCAAGCAGATGGTCCACGAAGGCAACCAGCGCTGGGACAACCTGCAGAAGCGCGTCAGCTCCATCCTGCGCAGACTCAAGGTCTCTATATGCCTCCCCTGTGGCTCAGAGGCCCAGGGACAGCACTAGGCTATTCGGACGCAGTAGTAAGACACCAGCTCAGTGATTTTGTACGATTGGGATGGCGGGGGGTGGGGGGCCCAGGGTTAATGTATACAGTAAAGACGGCAGGGTTCTCCTTGCTCCTGGAGAAACGACCTTCTAGAAGACCAGTGGAGTCGGCAGTGCCCTCTCAGTCTGCGAGCTTTTCACGGTTTATCATTTTCTTTTCACCCCCAGCACTTCACTGGCCAGCGCGAGGAGTTCGAGACGGCGCGGGACAGCATTCTGGTGTGGCTGACGGAGATGGACCTGCAGCTCACCAACATCGAGCATTTTTCCGAGTGTGACGTTCACGCTAAAATAAAGCAACTCAAGGTAACAGATCAGTGATTGTTCAGCTTACCAGTGTGAAGAAATCTGAAGGGGAACGGGCTGGTAGATTCTTTGGTGAAGAAGATAATTGAAGTGTTTCTTTTAGTTTTCTTTTTTTCAATTTATCGAGGTGACATTGGTTAATAAGATTATAGAGGTTGCAAGTGTACATTTCTATGATCTTCATATTGGATTGTGTGCCCACCACTCAAAGTCAGATCATCTTCTGTCACCATATATTTGACCCCTTTACTCTTTACTTCCCCCAACCGCCCCCCACCCCTGTTGTTGTCTATCTCTGTGAGTTTTTGTGTGTTTGGTTTTCTTGTTTGTTCATTTGCTGCTCTCAGTTTTATATCCCACATATGAGTGAAATCGCGTGCTCTTGACCTTTTCTGTCTGACTTGTTTCACTTAGCATGAACTTCTCAAGGTTCATCGATCTTGTCGCAAATGGCCATATTTCATCTTTTCTCGTGGCTGAGTAGTACTGTATTGTGTGTGTGTACCACATCTTCTTTATCCAGTCATCTATTGAAGGACACTTCGGTTGTCTCCATGTCTTGGCCACCATAAATAACACTGCAGTGAACATAAGGGTGCATATATCTCTGCAAATAAATGTTTTCAAATTGTTCTGGTAGATACCCAGAAGAGGGGTTGCTGGGTCATACAGTAACTCTATTCTTATTTCGTTGAGGAACCTCCATACTATTTTCCATAGTGGCTGTACCAGTTACATTCCCACCAGCAGTGAAAAAGGGTTTCTTTTTCTCCACAACCTCTCCCAACACTTGTTACCTCTTGTCTTTTTCAGAATAGCCATTCTAACAGTGTGGCGATGTATCGCATTGTAGTTTTGATTTGCATTTTCCTAATAGCTATAAAGTTAGCACCTTTTCGTATATCCGTTAGCCATTTATATGCCCTTTTGGGAGAAGCGTTTGTTCAGGTCCTCTGTCCATTTTTAACTGGATTGTGTATTTGTTTGGTGTTGAGTTGTATGAGTTTTTTATGTATTTGGGAGATTATTAACTCCTTGTCAGAGCTGTTGTTTGCAAATATCTCTCCCATTTTGTTGGTTGCCTTTCTTAGTTTATTGGTGGTTTCTTTTGCTGTGCAAAAGCTCTTCAGTTTGATATAGTCCCATTTACTTCCCTTGTCTTTTGGGTCAAATTAATAAAATCTTCTCTAAGACCAAGAAATTAGTTCTTTTGATTGAAAAAAAATACAAAAGATATAAAAAATGAAATAAAGAACACTACTCAGAGATAAGTGCCATTAACATATTTGTTTTCATTATTAACTTGATAGCCATAATGTTGGGGGCGGTTTTTGGTGGTGGTTTTTGTGTTTTTTTTGTTTTGTTTTTTCAGATTTTTTTCTAGTTCCTTTAAATCGATTATTTGACCTCTGTGTTTCAGTAAAATACAACTTTCTCCTATTGGAATTTCATCCCACATATTCTACATTCTTAGATGCCAAGTTAATTTTAAACATATTATATATACTTCACTGTATAATTTGACCACAGTGCCTAGTTAAACATTTAAATAAGAGGGGCATGCAGTACATCAGATAGAAGATTCTCTTAGTGGAAGTGTATTTAACAATTTGATTAATCTGCAAGGCATCTTATGAAATTTTCTTCCCAAGATAGTTAAACAGATTTTAAAAATCATGATACCATAACCTTACATTGTTATAATAAAACAAGGAAGTTACCCTTAATCATATATTATCAGGATGAAAAAAATAAAATAGTTAACCCTGGTATTCTGCCCAACCCCTCTCGCCACCTCTCCCACCCTGACTCTCCCAAGTTGTTTCATAGGCAAATTAATATTTATAACCTTTGGCAGGAAGTTTCCTCCAAGTGGTAGTTGAGTCTTTTGTTTTTGGGCTCTGGCAGGGTCATAGAACTTACTATGGTCCCCTCTTCTCCCTCACAGTCTTTTCATTATTGGACAGTTTTTTCTATTCTAGAGTTTATTTTTATGAATGAATTCAAATGTATCCCCTGAAACTTGTCCCAAGTAGCTTAACTCTTCTGAACCATGTAAAATGAGTCTAAATGATGCTCCAGAATTCCTTATTTTTCAAAGCATTTTCATCTTTCCTGCCTAAATCCTGAAAAAATAGAAATCATCTGAGAATTTGTAAGATTGTCATTGGCTTGGTTTCTCTTAGTCATATATGATGAATGATCAAGAAATCGAAAATTAAAATAGTTCACATATTTTTTTAAAGTGCTAAGTTCATTTCAGTGGCACTGTAACAACCGCAGTTCGTCGTCATCAGGGATGACCGAGGCTGTCAACCTTGTGATGGTTTGGATGCCAGCCCTGTTCATGGTAGTGGATCTTATGAGCCAAGGCACCTTTCTGGTCATAGGATTCTAATGAGTCTATTTCCAACTCATGTTCTGATTTACAGTGTTCAGTTCTACTTTCTAAAGTCAAAGCCTCTTCGCTTGTCCTTGTGTATGGTAAATTCAGTATCCTCCACATGGTTCTCCTAAAGAGGTGCCTTCTAATTATTTCATGTCAATGTGAGCAATAGAAGTCACATGAGACATGTGCTCTCCAGGCCTTCCAGCAGGAAATTTCACTGAACCACAACAAGATCGAGCAGATCATCGCCCAAGGAGAACAGCTGATTGAAAAGAACGAGCCGCTGGACGCGGCGGTCATTGAGGAGGAGCTGGACGAGCTCCGGCGCTACTGTCAGGAGGTCTTCGGGCGCGTGGAAAGATACCACAAGAAACTGATCCGCTTGCCTGTAAGTGACATTGTTTTTCAATTGTCATTAAATCTAAAGAGAAATCATTGTGTGGGGTTCAGTAACATTGTGTAGTGGCTAAGAACCCAGACGCTGGGTTCCAGGTCCAGCTCTGAGGTGTTGGCTATATAACCTTTGGCAGGTTATTTGCCTCAGTTATTCAAGCTGCTTTAATAACAGCACCTACCTGTAGAAAGGATTTTGGGCAACATGAAATGAGATGACAGATAGATGACAGATAGATAGATAGATAGATAGATAGATAGATAGATAGATAGATAGATAATAGATAAATAAATAGATGATAGATAGATAGATAGATGATAGATAGATAGATAGATAGATAGATAGATAGATAGATAGATGATAGATAGCTTAGAAGAGTACTTGGCACTTATCTTCTGTGGAATATAAAGAAGCTTCTAGAAGAAACTACGAGATGAAAGTGAATAATGTAAATAGTTGCTCTATTGATGAAGTTGTTGTGTTGAATTTTTTTCCTCCTCCATTTCCCTAACTGCTGCCATGATCACATCTCAGTGTCGAGATGTTATTGTTAGAATATATGGAACCTTCGGTATTAAATATATTTTGTGTCTGGGATATAAGTTTGAAAAGGACCAGCGAGGATTTCTTCAGTGATCTCCTTCTGTTCCTGACATGTGCCCTGTGTACATGTGGTGCTGCATGCACAGTACTAGGTTGTCTTTATTTACATTATGTTCTTTAATCTTCTACCAATTCTTTAAAGTACGTTTTGATATAATTTCCATTTTAGTGCTGATAAAACTGAAGCTTTGTTAGACTAATTTATAAGACATTTTAAAAGGTGACCACAAGATTCTTATTTATTTGATGATAGAAAGTTTAAAAGTATCTCCACTGAGGTAGCAGTGACCCAGATAAGCTTGAACTCTTGGATTTGGCGAGGGGCAGAACGAGGCGTGATGAGGGGTCATCTGGTTGCTGCAGTAACCAAGTTGGCTTGACTGCATTTCTAGCTACCAGACGATGAGCATGACCTCTCTGACCGGGAGCTGGAGCTGGATGACTCTGCAGCTCTCTCAGACCTCCACTGGCATGACACCTCTGCAGACAGCGTGCTGTCCCCACAGCCTTCCTCCAACCCCTCCCTCTCCCTCGCCCAGCCCCTCCGGAGCGAGCGCTCGGGACGAGACACGCCTGCCAGTGTGGACTCCATCCCCCTGGAGTGGGACCATGACTATGACCTCAGTCGTGACCTGGAGTCTGCCGTGTCCAGGACTCTGCCCTCTGAGGATGAAGAGGGTCAGGAAGACAAAGATTTCTACCTCAGGGGAGCTGTTGGCTTATCAGGTAAGAAAGAGCTGTTCCTAACCAACGGAATTATCTTCTTCCTTCTCCCATTGTCGGGGAAATTGTGCATGAGGGAACGTTGGATATTCATGTGATTATCAAATGCAAAAGTTGGCATGGCCATTGATGTACCCCACATGTATTGAAAGTCTTACTACATATCAAGCACTTTGCTAAGTACGGGTAACACACCGTTCCTTTTCTTACACTCAAGTGTGGAACACAGATAATAAGTAAGACTCGTTTGGAGCTAGGATATAACATGCATGGGGAGGTAGAGAGGCATATCCAAGGGGCGACTAACCCAGAGCGTTGAGGGATGGGAAGGGATTCTTGAGCTGAGACCTGAGGATGAGTAAGAGTGGTCAGGTGGGTACAGCAGTGCACAGAGGAGGAAGCAGAGGGGCACCCATCCCAGCTCTGTGACCAGCCACAGGACTGTTGGTCACCTGAGGTTTGTCTACCGTGACAAGGCTGTATATTGGGAAGCACAGAGTGGACAAAGAGGAGGTGGAAAGGAAAATCAGGACCTGGTATAAAGCAGCCTGTTCACACGGAAAAGAGTCTGGCTTCTATCCTGAAGGTAATAGGGAGCCACAGCAAGGCTCTGTAAGGAGGGAGGTGATGTGATCAGATGCATATTTTCAAAGAACCTGTCTTGATACTATATGGAGGGAAGTGCATTGGGAGGAAAAGAGTCCAGATGGACACATTTTATAATCCAGGACAGAAATAGATGGTAGCCCAAACTAAACTAGCTTTGGAAACAGAATGGAAAGGATGTGACAACGCAGAAGAAGTCCCCTCCTTAATTGATGATTTGATAGGATTGGGATTGAGGAGATTTTCTGGCTTGGGCATCTTGGTGAAAGATGTGACTTCTCTCATTTCTGTTTTGTCCTCATAGTATCATCTAATAGTTAGACTTGTGGCATCCAAGCAGCACCGTGCTGTATGTAGCCACTGGCCACAGTATGACAGCTGAGCCCTGAGCTGTGGCTGCAGTTGAGATTGGCTCTGTCAGACGCACTAACACAAATACATGAGGTTCAAAGACTTACACAAGGCAAGACTATTAAACAATAAGAGGTTGATTACATGTTCTAATTTGGATGTATTGGTTTATTAAAATAAAGTATGAAAATCATTTTAATCTACTCCTTGTTACCTTCTGCACGAGGCTGTGAGAACCTCCGCAGGTGCGTGTGCCGCTCCCGTTGTCTCCATTGGCCTCTGCCAGTGCTGCTCTGGAACCTGGGTGTCCGGGCTGAAGTTTCCTTGTTGCCTCTTTCGTAGCCGCTGAAACTTGGAAAAGTAACTTCAACCCTTGGTTTTCTCACCAACAGAATGGGAATGACTCCCCCCTCGCCGTAGGGTTGCTATGAGGATAGAGGAGTGCTTGACACTGTGCCCGTCTCCTACAACACACTCATCAGTGGGTGCGAGCCCTCATCACGGCTCACTCCAGGAACCGTCGGGGCGCGTGCCCACACTCCCGTGTGCTCAGCAGTGGTCTGCCCACCAAGCTAACTTCCTTTTCTCCCCTGGGAAAGTTGTTTTCCCGCCACAAGGGAATCAGTGTTTCCAGAGCCTACCTGTCAACTTAGACTGTGCTCTTTTTGCAGATGTAATGATCCCTGACAGTCCTGAGGCCTATGTAAAACTCACAGAAAGTGCCATCAGAAATGCCTCTGGTAGGCACGCCCAGCCGAAGCCAGCCTCCCTCCCACACCTGTCACAAGCCCCCTGTTAACACAGCCCTGTCCCCCTCATGGCTCCGCGCACCAGCATGTTCAGGCAGAACCTTCTTCTCTGACGGCTGTACCAGGAAAACGAAAAACAAACAAAACAAAGCAATCACTTGTGGTGGTGACCAAAAGTAAGATTTGAGTGATCAGGGCCGTGAAATAACTCTCAGCTTGTTCAATGGTAGTCGGTCTCGTTACGTACAGACCCGTCATGTCCGTTAGCAGCCAGGACAGGAGACGGAAACCCTAGGCTTCAGCATTTGTGGCCTAGCGCCCTGTGGACTGTAGTGGTCCCGACTTCATGACCTTGATGGCCACCCACCTCCCTCTGCTAGAGAGTCAGGCCTCCGGCTCTGATCCAAACCACCGGCCTGCATGTGTGACCTGGGGCCACTGCTCATCCTCCTGACCTCAGGGGTCACACATGAGACAAAGAGTGAGACCACATGTCCAGGTCTGTGTAAATTTTATTCAGTAAGTCTCACCACATATTAAATAGTTTGGAATGAAACATATTTTGCAGTATCTTAAGACAGATATTCCCTTTAGGACGGAACAATTCCTGAAACGAGAAAGAAAAATGCAACCAGTTTTGCTTAATGTTGCACTAGATGAACTGTGTGTGGTTCAGAATCAGTAATTTGGGGGAAGGTAGAGAGTAGGGTTTGAGTACAGTGATGTGATATTGAATTACAGGGTTATTAGTTCACACTTAAATTTTGGAAAAAAGCAAAAGGACAGGAAGCAAAGTACCATTAATGAAATGATGACTGCCTGAGTGATTCCCAGTGAGAGACCTCTTCTAGGTATATTTAGGAGACCTTGTCTTTAAACAAAAATCGTAAGGCTTACTAATATTTGTTCTGCTTTCCCCCTGTGCTAGCTCCACTCTGATAATCAATGTTCTTGTTCGAGGCAAAGACTGCAGCACACACACACACACACATGCGCGCGTGCACACACATGCATGTGCACACACATGCATGCCTGCACACATGCAAATCCTTTGGCTAAGTGGTGTTACATCTCTGAAAGGATAATGAGTCAGGAGTTCCAGGCTATGAGTGAGAGCAAGCCTAGCGGGAAATGCTAAAATCTTAGCTTGCTCCTAGTTTAGATTCAGGTTTTAAACCAAAGCGAGTCATTGCTAGTTCGTTGTTTCCATACATCCCTCTCCTGAGCTAGTCTTTTCCTGGTTACTTGCAGTCGTGCCTTAAGTGAATGATGCGGCACCTGGCACCTCAGTAGCACTGTCTTCTGCTGGGATACAGAAGGGAAAGTTGGAGGGTGTACCTTTCTCTGCTTGATAAGTGACTGCCGAAGAAACACGAGAAGTAACTGTCTCATAGTTATTGGGGAGCAGAAGGTACCACGCAGGATTTTAGAAAGGATTCCTTAGCTCACCACATGCAGATTTCCTGGGGATCAGATGAGGAAGGGAGCAGACCCAGGGGCTGTTAGAACCCACAGGAGAGCTCAGTACCCAGTGGGCCAGCACTCCCAGCAAAGCACGTTCATCAGTCTGATCATTTAAACCTTTAACCCACCTGCACATTAGTACTAAACTTGCTTTATAATTACCCACACACATGCCATTTCTATACAGCTTTAACTGAAATAATTTCTTAAACGTCTTGAATGCCAAGCTTGCAAAGCTTGTAAAAAAAAAATCTTATGGTTGACAGGGGATCCCAGTGCCTTAGAGTCACAGATTCGACAACTGGACAAAGCCCTGGATGACAGCCGTTTCCAGATGCAGCGAACTGAAGATGTCATCCGCAGTAAAACTCCCACGGGACCAGAGCTGGACGCCAGCTACCGAGGCTACGTGAGTGTCCTCGCCTCAGACAGTACCTGGATATCATGGTTGTGTGACCCAGAACAGTTTGTCTGGGGCACGAGGCCTTTATGAGCTCTCCAGATACCACGCTGCCCTTGAACTCACAGGCGCGGATGTGCAAAAACAAAGCCCTGTTATTGGGTGACCTGTGGAGGCAAACTGGAGCGTGCACAGGCCCACTCACCTGCAATGACCAGCTGTCAGCGTGCACATGGACCTGAGGGAGACCGGTTTAGCTGCGAGCAACAGCGTGCTTTGGCTCCCAAAGTGCTTAGGCATTTTTCCAAATTCAGCTAATCATGTTTGGACCACGGTTCCCCTCGGAGCAGCAGATTATAGCTAATGGATTACTATAATGGAACTTTTTAGTTCTTTTCTGGGGTTTATTGATTCCCTGGATGGCCTGTTTTTAGTATGCTCATTCCGGAGCAAACGATTCTAACGAGGGATTTGTGGGAAAAAATGGCAAGAGAGTGTGTATGTTACCACTCCTTTTTCTGAAGCTCTTAGGAAAGTAGAGCATGACTTTATTTGCTCTGCTTACATTACCGAACAGATAATTTTTCCTAGAGAACCATCTGTTTCCCTGCACGGACTTAAACAAGAGACTCTGACAATAAAACTCTTTCATGCCTCATCTTTGTGTCCAACCCCAAAGATTGCCTAGTAAAAGGAGAGAAATCATAATCTCCCAAAGTCAGATAGCTCCCACATGCCGCTCTCTGAAACCAGAGAAGAGAATCATTCTAGTTTTATACGCTGGTGTTCATACCCTCACCATTACAGAAGAGGGATCAGTCATGAGTTCACTTCCTGTGCAGTCTGGCCTAGTATACTGTCGTCTATGAGAGAACCTCTTATTTCAAAATATACTAGTTTCCTGAGGACCGTGAGGATATCATTGAGAATATACTCAACCAAAATCAAAAGTAATCAAAGTCACTTAATAGCGATGTGATTTGTTAAAGGCTTTGAAAGATAACTTGGTGGTCAGCATAGCAGCCATGCCGTGCAATGATTTGTTCTTTTAATTTTTGAAAACTGTGCATACTGAACATGGAGTCGGAAGCCTCTCCTTTGATGTTAGGACTTATTCCCTTAATGCCTATTAACGCTTACTTTTCTCAGGAAGCAACTGGTTTTAATATTGCTTTAAGATTTTAAGTATTGCAGTTATTTAATGCAAAAAAAACAATGTTCCTTTGAGATTTGTGGTAATAAGATGGTTCCCACTTTTCAGTTTAAGAAAGATGAGACAACTTGCCTAAAACTGTGTGATGTGATCTCAGCTGGGGCTCTGAGTGTCAGGCCAAGATGGGTGTCCTCTGTCTTTATTTTTATGTTAATTCATTGATTTTAAAAGAAAGAGGAAGGGGAGGAGACAGTGGGGGAGAGACAGAGACAGACTCAGAGAGAAAGAGAGAGAGAAAAAAAACATGGATTTGTTGTTCCACATATTTATGCATTCATTGGTTGATTCTTGTATGTGCCCTTACCGAAGGTCGAACCCACAACCTGGGCAGGGCCTAGTCTGTCTCGACTTATCAATTTCAAATAAATGTTGCAAAACCACACATGCCGACTGTATCTTCAAGGCATTGCTTTCTGCATAGATGCAGGTGTCTCATGTTTAAGAGACATGTTTTTGAACTTGACCTTTTCCTTGAGCAGACTGGCACAGAGAAGTGAAACACAGACACTGTCCTTTTTGAGGAACTACAGAGAATCTTCCCCCAGACACCCTTGCACTCGCGGGAATGTGAGGACTCGGTGACAAGGCCTGTTTTCTGTGTCCAAACAGATGAAACTGTTGGCTGAATGCAGCGGCAGTATAGACTCGGTGAAGAGGCTGGAGCACAAGCTGAAGGAGGAGGAGGAGAATTTCCCCGGCTTTGTGAACCTGAACAGTACGGAGGCCCAGACAGCTGGTGAGTGAGGCCGCTCGGCTCCAGACCGTGCAGCGAGGATTCAGACGCACCATGTTGCCGCCGAGTGTCGCTTACCTCATTCCACACATTTCTGTCCTGAGCACTTTCCTCCGTGTGCCGATGATCTGGGTCCGAACAGGGAGGGGAGCATCACGGTGTTCTCTGCGCCGCCTATTTCAGGGCGCGGTCTTCAGTGCACGGCTCAGGCATCGTACAGAGAGAAATCTAGATTTGAATGTTCAGGCGGACTGCTGCTCATTACTTCATAAAGCTCTTTGAGATGTGAGATCCAATTAGCTCATTTTATTTTACTCCCTTACTATTAAAAATGTAGATCGGAAGAACGCAGCCCTGACGCTGTTATTTACAGGTGACGGCGACAGACACGCCCCGTGGGATTCCCTTGCTTTCTGTTGCTAGTTAAAGGCAGCCGCAGTGCAGGCTGCGTGCCCACACCGCACGTGGAGGAGGGCGCCCTGCAGTGTGCACGCCCTGTCTTGCCAGGTGTGATTGACCGCTGGGAGCTCATCCAGGCCCAGGCCCTGAGCAAGGAGCTGAGGATGAAGCAGAACCTCCAGAAGTGGCAGCAGTTCGGCTCCGACCTGAACAACATCTGGACCTGGCTGGGGGCGACGGAGGAGGAACTGGAGCGGCTCCGGCGCCTGGAGCTCAGCACCGACATCCAGTCCATTGAGCTCCAGATCAAAAAGCTCAAGGTAAGCCCTGGCTGGTTTGGCTCAGTGGTTAGAGCGTCGGCCTGTGGTCCAGAGAGACCTGGGTTTGGTTCTTGCTAAGGGCACGTACCTCGGTTGCAGTTTGTCCCGGCCCCAGTTGGGTCATGCGGGTGGCAACCACGCGATGTGTCCCTTCACGTCGATGTTTCTTTCTCTCTCTCTTCCTCTCTCTCCCTCCCACTCTATCTGAACACAAAAATGAAAAAATGCCCTCAGGTGAGGATAAAAAAAAGCTCAAGGTAAGCTGCCCTTGGCCTGGCCGAGTGGCCAGACAGAAGGCTACCACGTGGGAGGACTGGGCAGGGACGCCATGAGCTCCAGCCGTGTCACTGTGACACAGCAGTGGGGACATGTCAACAGAAGGGCACAGGAATGCTGCCCTTCCCCCACTGGCTCCAATCAGAGTGTCTGTAGAGTAGGTTTCAAAGGGAAGGAGGATGGACCATGTTGTAGAGGAAGCCCCATGTCAATAAGCATGTAGGATTTAACGAGTTGGTAGTTTTAAATGATCGATGAAATTTATGAACCATCCATGGACCTCTAGGACCCACTTCATAAGGGAAACTGACATGGTACCCGGTTCTACCAGCCTGGAGCTGGAGCCCAGTCCTCTCCAAGACTGCGGGAGTGCGTGGAGGCCTAGTGGAATCATTTGACGTCCTGGAATCAGCAGGGCTTAGGACATAGACTATGGAAGTGGCAGAAGCAGTTTCCCGTGTAATTAATACAACCAGGCAAAACTGGAGTAATTGTCATAAAACACCTGACAGTTCTGCACGGGTGCGGCACCCAGATGACTTCCTTCACCTCCAGCTCTTAGCGACGCTCCTCAGCCCCGCGATTGAAATGCATTCACACGCAGGCTTCTGTGAGCAGACTCGGGGCGGAGGGCTCAGTCCTGTGCAGTAGCTCTTTCGATTCTGTCTTTTTGTCTGGAGAACATCAAGGAGTGCTCTTCCTTGGAACGTAGCTACCCAGGCTGTCTGGGCTCACGGATTCAGTGTGCTGCTTGTGTGTGTCTCTGGTTTCCGTGTGTGCTCTTCTTCTGGGGCTGATGTTTCCGTGGCTTGCTTTGGTGGTGGTTGTGTTTTAAGTCTTTGAACAGAGAAGTGAATCTTCCCACAGATGTTCCAAGGTCTTCCCTGAGAGGCGCCTCCACACCGGCCCCACCAGTTCCAGGACCAAGAGTCAGATGAGAGATGCAGTTTACATGATCTGGATTGTAGGACACGTTTTTCTCTAGAATACTGAAATTCCTTTAGTTTCTCTCTGGGAAAGCGTAAGGCCGTGCTGATTTAAAACCAAATTCTTCATAGAGGTGATGAAGCAGATGCTGGTCGAAGTCTGAGACCTAAGGGAGATTCTGGTGGAGAAGTGACTGACCGTCAGCCTGGGTGACCAAAACAACACCCCTTCCCTGCACCTGTCCCCAGAATCCGGCCTGTTTTCTCAGAATCAATCTGTGGAATACCCACGTGTCCTGCCACGGTATCTCTTGATGTCGTACTGTCTCTGTGGTTGAATCTATCTTCAGTATGTTAAGACCCTACTGAAAATTACAAAATTAAGGCAAGTGGAAACATCACAGAAAAGTGAGACATTGTAAGAAAATGTAGCCTGGGTAGGTATGATTTTCAGGATTACTCACCCTGGGGATGTTTAAACAGTGCCCAGCTATTCAATTATTAAATGTGATCATGTGCCCCAGTTTCTCAAATTTAGTTCTAGATTTTTATGAAATGCACACAGTAAAAAATCAGTTGTGTAATGTGTGTCTGTGTGTCTGTGTACGTGTGTGTCTGAGTATGTGTATGTGTGTCTATGGGTATCTGCCTGTGTGTATCTGTGTGTGTCTGTGTGTGTGTGTCTGTGTATCTGCCTGTATGTGCGTGTGTGTGTGTAATCAAACAAAATCGGTTCATTCTCTTAACCATCACAAGAAGGTGGCCTGTAGCATAGGCATTGTCCTCAGCCTGTGGGTCACTATCTGTGCCTATGGAGTCAGAACAGCTAGAGGCTGGGGCCTGGGAATCTACTTTCTCATCAGGCCCCCCATTTTATTCTTACGCACAGCACTTTGAGTACCGTTGGTCTACTGAATGGGATTCTTACACTGGAACAGAAAGTTCGTTTCCTGCTGTTCAGAATGGTCAGAGCCCAGTTTTGTTTTGTGTTGTTGTTGAAATCCCATGCTGTGGGTTGAGTTAATCATACTCTTTATTTTATTGCACAGGGTCATGGTTGCTTCCTGCAAAGTTCCTCTTAATTTAATTTATGTATCCTTTCTCCCCGACTGTTTTTTAATCCTCATTCCTCAAACCCGTGGCAACCATTCTGAAATATTTAATGAGTATTCTTTGTTCTTATGCTTTCATTAAAAAGTAGATTTGTGTGTGTGTGCGTGTATCTCAATTTACGTAAATGTTGTCACGTTGCACGTATCATTCTGTTTCTGACTCATTCACTCTGCACCATATTTTACTGAGACTCACTCGTGTTGTCCAGTGTACACCTAACTCGTTTCTGCAGCGTGGTTCTCAGCGTGTGAACTCAGTATATCTTATCGAGCCATTCTGTCACGGCCAGTTTCACTTAGTGGATCTTTGTAATTGAGTGAAGCACTTCCAAAGGTCTGACTGTTTTCTTCACGCGTTTTTCACGGTTGTCCCTGTGTGATTGCTCTCCTTCTGCCCAGGAGCTCCAGAAGGCGCTGGACCACCGCAAAGCCGTCATCCTCTCCATCAACCTGTGCAGCGCCGAGTTCACCCAGACTGGCAGCGAGGAGAGCCAGGCCCTGCAGGACCGCCTGTCCCAGATGAACGCCCGCTGGGACCGGGTGTGCTCCCTGCTGGAGGAGTGGCGGGGCCTCCTGCAGGGCGCCCTGATGCAGTGCCAGGTTCGGGGGTTCGGGGCGTGGGGCAGGCCATGCTCTCGAGTCAGACGTTTGCAGGGGTGCTCAGTCTGTGCCTTCATTTATCAAGGTCACTAGAGGGATGCAGCTGCTCCCCAAAGTCAGTGTAGGAGTGTGAGAACTGTGTGCCCAAACCTTTTATTTTACTGGAGAATTTGTGCATGTGGACAGGCGTTCAAAGCACCCAGACCCCATCTTCTGTCCAGCTAACAGGAGACCATTCGCACACATTTATCTCAGCCTCACCATCCCTTCTTCCACTCATTCATTTCATTCATTCATTCAGTGGATATTTTCTGAGCACACAGAAAGACAGTTTCTGAGCATCAGAGTGAGCACTACAAAGACGTATTCATTCACACCACCTTGGTCAAGTCCCACGGTCTGACCGACATTGTGCTAAGCAGGCACGTTACAGTGCAGCCTCTACTCTTGTTGGGGAAACAGACCATAAAAAGGCAATCAAATGGTTAACCATGATGCTTCCAGATGGTGGTAAGGGTCGCTGAGAAAAGCCTCTTTGGGTGGGTGGTCAGGGAAGTCCTAAGGATCTGTGAGCTGACACTAGAAGGATGTTCCCATGAAGGAGATAGAACAAGTGGAAAGGGCTTCGTGTGTCTCAGGACAGGGATCAGAATGCAGTCCGAGGGGCAGGGAGTGATGGGAGAGACGGGGAAGGTGGTCAGGAATGAGGTCACGCAGGGCCTTGCAGGGCCTGGCCCGGAGGCTGGGCTGCATTCTGAGCATGAAGAAAAGCCCTTTCAGGATGCAAAGCCCCAAGAGTCCCTGGTCCTCCAAAGCAGGTGCCCGACTGTTGTGTGAGCCCTGCAACCCACCCCTGGTACAGCGTGTTCCACATAGATCTTCAGGAACTCTACGTTGAACAAATGAATGAACAGATGGACGGATGAAAGACATATGGGAATGGACTTAGGCCTTAAAAGATGGACCGATTTGGGTTCAGGGAGAAGAGAGTTGCTTCCTTCCAAACTACACCATAGCCCTAGAAATGTCTCTAGTATTTTGTATTTTGAACTAATTTTTTTTACGTCTAAAATTTCCCCTAAGTAATAAATTAGATGCTTTAGGTAAGAGTGTGAACTCAGATCATTTCAACAGGGCAGACACCTTCCTCAGAAAGGAGGGGTGTCTAAGACCGTGAAAGCAACGCACCTTTGCCAACGGCAGTTGTAACGAAGAGAATGTAAGCCATGAGGGGAAGAAGACTATATTATTCGAGACGATCTCCTGCTCTGTATTTTTTCCCTAGGATTTTCATGAAATGAGTCATGGTTTGCTGCTTATGCTGGAGAACATCGACAGGAGGAAAAATGAAATTGTCCCTATCAGCTCTCACCTCGATGCAGAAATACTTCAGGACCATCACAAACAGCTCACGGTAAGAGGGGTGAACTCGGGCAGCCTCTGGTCGTTTGTAGCAGCAACTGAAACGGTTCGGTGGCAGAAAAGGGATGTCGGAGGTAAGTTGTTTTTACCTTTTAAGTTGTGGCCTCTAAGTTAATTTTGCTTTGCTGATTATGGTTCCCAATTTGTGTGAAGCAAACAAGTGTAGAGATGACATCGACTAGCTCTAGAATCTGGTTCTAAAGTCGTGGCTCAGTTGAAAAGGTCTTAGCTGTTTTCATCTTTTTTTTTTTTATCCTCACCCGAGGACATTTTTTGATATTTTGTTCAGATAGAGTGGGAGGGAGAGAGAGAGAGAAACATCAACATGAAAGGGACACATCGAGTGGTCGTCACCCACACGACCCAACCAGGGCCGGGGACAAACTGCAACCGAGGTACATGCCCTGAGCGGGAACCAAACCCGGGTCCCTCCAGACCACAGGCCAACGCTCTAACCGCTGAGTCAAACCGGCCAGGGTTGTTTTAATCTTAATTAACTCCTTTTATTAAAACAGGTCTTTGGTGAATTACACTTATTTTTAATTTAGACTGTGTTTGTTACATCTATGTCCCAAAAGTAGATCGGGTGGTTTATAATGAAAGGACATTACAACTATTAAAATAGAGAGCATTGCCCGGACAGTGTGGCTTAGTGGTTGAGCATAGATGCATGCACCAAGAGGTCACAGGTTTAATTCCCGATCAGGGCACATGCCCAGGTTGTGGGCCCAATCCCCGCTGGGGGGCATGCAGTAGCAGCCAGTCAATGTTCTCTCTCAGCAATGTTTCTATCTCGCTCTCCCTTCCTCTCTCTCTCAAATCAATAAAAACATATTTAAAATATAAACTAAAATAGAGACCATTAAGGCTTCTGAGGAGGAATTAAGTGAACCAAATCCACCATTCACTTTACCACCAACTTTTCTGAAAGTCAAGACAGAAAGGGAACGCGATGAGTTCACTTGTTCTCATTAGCTGACAGGAAGAAAGCTGACCAGTTCTCCAGGAGTGAGAAACTTGCCCAGCACTGAATCCAAAAGGAAACGTGCAGAACTTCTGCGCAGAGTATCACACAAAGAATACGGACAGCATAATGTACAGTTACTTAAGTGAATTTATAGATGATAAAGACGCAGATTTACGTTCCATTAAGAGAAAATGATTTGAATTTTGTAGCTTTCTGTATTTTTAAAAAGTTATTTCTCAACATTTAATACTCTCTAACCTAACTAACAGAATTAGCTTTTAATTCAGTACCATAAAGGTCTTAGAATCCAAGAAAAATAGCTCTGTGACTACATTTTCACTACCTCAGACTTTAAGTTGTGAATGATCAATCACCCAATCTTTAAAAATCTTTAACAGATATCTGAGTGTACCTAGACATATTTGAGGTTTGCTATATTTATGGTAATGTTTTACTCTTCTGTTTAAAAACATATATCGTATGTCTTGTTTGCATAATACTTTGTATTTTAAGTACTTTCATGTAGATTTACTAATTTGAACCTTCCAAGAATACTTACTGTGGACCAGGCAGGAAATAGTATCATTTTGCCAAAGGAGAAAACGCCCATCAGAAAGGTCCAGGGGTCTTCCAGAACATTTTTGACAGAGACAAGATTAGAACACAGTTCCCGGGTTCCCAAATGCCGCGGGCAGCTGTACCCTTCCTTGCGTGAGCACAGCACTCAGATGCTTAGGTAGAATTGCCCAGTAAGTTCAAGTGATGTCGTTCTGCCCTGTAGAGACTTTCTCCAATGGTCAGAAATTCTTAGAGAAACGTTTCTTATTATACACGTAGCAAATCAGGCAGGAGTTACTGGAATCCCAGCTCAAAGTCGCCTCACTGCAAGACATGTCTCACCAACTGCTGGTGAATGCTGAGGGCGCCGACTGCTTAGAAGCCAAAGAAAAAGTCCACGTGATTGGAAATCGGCTCAAACTGCTCTTGAAGGAGGTCGGTCGCCACCTCAAGGAGCTGGAGAAGTCATTGGACATGTCAAGCAGTCAGCAGGTAAGCTCCAAGCAGACAACATTGTGTAGCGCTCCTTACAGGATACCAAAGAGGCGTCAGTGTTATCCCTTTCAGAAAGTCTTTGAATGGAGTGCTTGTCCGTGTCCACTCTCTGTCCTGGCTCCTGCCTCAAAATAAGAAAGGGACTTACAGAGTTTTATAATTGGACACTGCTTTTGCTTCTGCCACATCCAAGAGACCTCCTGTCCTTGTCGCTGCTGGCCTGATGCCACCACTCCTGTGGCATTTTGTTTTACCCTGTTTGGTTCAGAACTCACATGTTTTCTGTACCGAAGCTATGATAAATCACAACCTGTCCTTGCATATGATTCAACCTAGAAAGTGGAATCCTCCTGACATGAGCAGCAATTAATTCGTAGAAAGTATCCTCTGCTCATGTATGTTGTTACTTTTTTTCCTTCCGTCTCCTGCACCCTGGTAGTGGTGTTGGTTTGGGGAAATGCATGTGCAGGTCCAGAGATGCTTGGTAAAACTTCATTCAGTTGTGAACACACAAGCACTCTGCCCTCCTTGGAGAGTGTCAAATAGTCTATTGCAAGCAACAGCTGCGGAGGAAACAATACGACCTCTCTGATGTTAGAAGGCTCCTGGGTGACTCTCATTTCTAACTCGAATGAATTGGTTCTCTCTGGCCTGAGCAACCCGCAGCTCTAAGGCACGATCCTTCACCTCCTCCACTTCGACTCATTCACATCACTGTGAAATAATAAAGCTACGGGTGACCCAGGCGTAACAGTCCTGTAGATGTACTTTCCAAGGGGACACACGGCCAGGAAAGCCCAATGCACCTGAAGAATTAGGTTCTGATCTTATTGTAATTGTCTGATTCTATTTTTCTCAAGAAATGAATGGTTTGGTTTTCGTGGGGGATGGACGGGGATGGGGTGGGAACTACACTGAGCGTTTCAGGCCATCGTGGCTCTGCGACATGGAGTCATCCAGAGAATCTATTTCCTGCGTAGGATTTGTCCTCCTGGTCTTCTGCGGATGAACTGGACACCTCGGGATCTGTGAGCCCTACGTCAGGGAGAAGCACCCCAAACAGACAGAGAACGGTAACTTTCCACTGGTCACTGGCCCATGGCACTAAGGGGACACTAAGGGACGGCAGTATCTGTACCTACCAGGGTGTGCAGGCTCTCCCCGCTACAAAGCAGGAGTCCCCATACAGAAGAGATAGTCACACGGTGACACAGTGAAACACTGTTCCCTCCACCCTCCACCGGCCCTGGCAACCCGCACTCAGGAATGGAAAAGAGCGGTTCTGTTTTTCAGAGAGTCAGGGCTCAGCGAGTGGTTGGTATGCAGGGAGACAAGGTATTTTTCTTGCTCCAAGGGCCATCTTCCAGAATGATGCTCCCTGGTCCCTTCAGTGGCTCCTCCCCTCAAACCACCACTGCCAGCGTCCCCCTAAAAAAAGGCTCCACAGAAAGGGTGCCGCCGCCAGAGGTGGGCAAAAATGTCCACAAGGCCACTGAATTGCTCAGATAAGTGGAGGATCTGTTGACTCCCAAGCAAAGAAGCTCCTGAGTGGTCCTGAAGGTTTTCAGCGACTGTGCCCCCAGCGGCAGCCGCGTGAGGGGACCCACCGCCCAGGCCTGGGGGCGGCCCCACTGGTACACAGAAGCAGCCCGACCCCGCTACCCTCTGTACCTTGATTTCTGTGTAACTAGAAGCTTGTTTTCGTTTTTTTTTATTTTTTGTCCTGCTTTATGATTATATTCATTTTTTATTATCATTCCATTCTCCTTAGTTTGTAGAAGTATTGATTTCATTTGTAATTTTTTTTTGTGATAAACACTTAAGTTCTGTGCTGATAAATGTTATGACCTTTCTTTAGGATTTTTTTTTTTTTTTACTACATTCACTAGTTTCCTGTAGATCCTAGTTTAAGAATGTGAAGGAACACTGGCTTTTCCATTCGAATTTTAGCCTGTATTGAACTTGAGTATTTACCTTGCTGGGTGTTCACTGCTCTACAGAGAACAAGTTCCTATTACCATTGTTATTATTGTTGATCTGTCAAGAATTTTAGTACCGTTTCGGTATTCTGGAAGGTAGAAAAATTATGGTGTGGCATGGTATATTGAACTTTATTTTTATTTATTTAAATATTTTTATTGATTTTCAGAGAGAGGGGAAAGGAGAGAGAGAGAGAAACATTGATGTGAAAGCAGAACATTGATCGGCTGCCTCCCGCACACCCCCTACCAGGGATCCAGCCCAGTACCTGGGCATGTACCCTAACTGGGAATTAAACCGGCAACCTTTCAGTGCATGGGATGACGCCCTACCAACTGAGCCACACTGGCCAGGGCTGAACTTTATATTTATTTATTTATTTATTTATTCATTTATTCATTTTTTTGAGAGAGAGATATGATGTGAGAAACATCGATGTGAGAAAGCAACATTAATCAGCTGCCTCCTGCACGCCCCCTACTGGGGATCAAGCCCACAAACCAGCACGTGCCCTGACTGGGAATCGAACCAGGACCTCTCAGTCCATGGGACGATGCTCAATCCACTGAGCCACACTGACCGGGCTGAACTTTATTTTTATTGTGAGTAAATATACAGAGATGCTTGGCTAGCATTAGTCACTTCAGTTTCTACCACGAAAAGTGGGGGAATATATACCCACTGTGGTGTGGACCTCCAATCCACAACTGATGTTCCTCCAATGACTAATAACATCGGTGTAAATTTATCCAATTTTTTCCAGACAAGAAAAGCCAGTTTCCTTAATCATGGGTACTGATCATGCCGTTGGATTTATTTTTCCTTTGCTGCACTTTTAGTTTAAGTTTCATCAGTAGCTTGTCTTTATTTGCCTGGACTGAACATTCTTCTTTCTTTACCCCTGTTCATTGCAAACAGCCACGAGGCACATGTAGCCTCTCCCAGCCTGGACCCTCTGCCAACAGTCCACACAGCAGGTACCTTATTCTCCTGGTTTCCACACTGTTCTAGAACTGCAAGAGGATGATGGAAATTGCCCATGATTTCAGTAGGCCTGTCTCGGGTGTGCCTTGGGGGAGTTGAGAAAGACCCACGTGGGTACACACCCTCTCTGAATAAATTGGAAGAAATTTTTCTAAGTGGAAAGTACAAGTGAATCTCAGATGGTGAGATATTTAGACCCCACCAACATTTTGATTAATACTACCTAGGCCATCTGGTGCTTTCCATCCAGTGGTATTCTGTGGGCACCTCGGATTTGATACGTCGGATAACGTAGCTGCTCTTTGAGTCATGGCAGACTTTCATCATCCTCTTTATTTCTAGATTTTACAATAAGACAGGTAATCGATCAATGAATTATTTTACCATTCCCGGAACCCACACATCTGCATAAAATATACTAACATCCCCAGCTTTTTTATTTTATTTTCGTGTTTTATCCAGATTGTGGGTTTGGGATGTTCCAAATGGCAAGTCCTAATTTGGTACTATTTAAAACCTATAAGCACCTCCTCTCTTCCGCTGACCCTGAAATTTCGGCCTGCACACTCACTCACTCACCTTCCTGACACTTGGCGAGCTCTTTCACTCTGGGTGGCTCAAGACAGCCAGTGCCTGCCCGGCGCCTGCCCAGAGCCCCTCGCGCCCCCCCGCTTCGCACCGCTCCCCGCAGTTCCTCGTTTCAGCAGCGCTTTGCCTGCTTTGTCGCTGGTGTGATGTCTGTGCTGCCTGCCCTGTCATGACCTGCTCCCCCAGACACGGTCCTCGGAGCTGACCTTCCATTCCAGCCCCTAGCAGTTCTGTTAGCGCAGTCTCCCCTCGGGAGAGGCACCGCCCCTGAGCTGGAATCGAGGTCCCTGGAAGGAGGTGGGGGTGGCGAGTGCAGACCGGAGCCAGCCCCCGAGTGATGATTGTCGTGGTTTTCCAGCTGCGTGCGGAGGGCTGTTGCCTCTGGTCCTTCCCACTCAGTGGATGTAATGAGGGACGCATTTTGAAATGCTTTCTGGGTGTAAGCCTTCCTTTACTGTGTATTTTGGGGGGGGTTTTGTGGGGTTTTTTCTTTCCCTTTGGTTTAGTCTGGAGACAATTTTATGGGGTTTTTTGGTCCACAACAAAATATTAATACTGAAATGGGAATGAAAGTTACAGTGGACCTCTGCTGGTGCTCGGAGGCTTTCTTAAGCCCCTACAAGAAAAACAGTCGTGCTGTAGACAGGTCATCTTCTCCACACAAGTCGCCACTGTGCCGTGAGCGTATTTCTGTGGAGTATCCCACAGTTGTCCTTTGAGGGTACCAGAGACTAGTTCCTTGGTTGACATGGTAATGAGGGGAGGGGGGAGCTGTTATGTTATTACACAACACCAATAGCAACCACCTGTGGGTTTCCAAATATTGCATCAATCTGCCCCCCGCCCCAATTATTCCAGACAACCACCCAGGTTTTTTGAAGAGGTCAAAGGCACTATTTCCTAGGGCAGCAAGTGCTACAACATGTCTTCTAACAGGGCTTGGCGGCTGGGACAGCCACATTCTTGCGGTGACACCCACCAGGCACCTTTCAGCTCTGCTCTGCCCAGCATGTTTATTAACATCTCTCTGAGCACACAGCACAGGGTTCACTTTGCTGCTTAGAAGGCTTGGAATTCCAGCGATCTTTGCCTGAATGGCAAACTTCATCAAACACCTCGCCAGACAGGTTGTGGTTGAACATTCCTGGACTTCTTCGCTCCCTGGCACCTCTGTCAGGGTGTACCCAAGCCTGACAATGGAATGCAGAGTCTGCTGGGAAGGACTTAACCTCACTTGCAATGCAGGCTGTCCCAGCTCCCTTGCACTGGGACTTGAGAGTACCTTGTGTTTGATCTTGCACTGGTCCAGAAAACTTGAAAGGTCACCGCAGAAGCACAAACAGTTGAGAATCTTGACCACAGCGAGCTGCAGAGGGAAAATGTTAGACATGGCTTCTCCTGAGAGAGGAAAGAGGCTGAGTTGGAAGTAACTGGTTGTTACTTTGAAAGGAGAGGTTCTTATACCCTTTAGGTTGTTTCAAATCAGATACTAATAATGTCAGTTGTTTGCTTGTTATGTTTCAGTTTGATTTCTTTGGTCACTGTTCTATGTCTTCTTACATAATATTCTGAGCCCACATATAGATCAATGCTACAGTGTATAGGCCCTGGGCCTATAAAATTAATACAATATGGTCCCTGCCATTAACAGACATGCAATGTGTCAGAATGAAGAGATTCCCTAAATCGATTACAAGAAGCTCCCCAAGACTCCTTAAAATTATAAACATTTGAAAAAAAAAACACAAAAACAGTCTGTGCCTACATTTATAACAACTATTCCTTATTTTTGAGATGAAAGATACCTAAGACGCGTGCTTTCGAAGCAACGTTTATGACAGTCTACCTGGCATTTTTCTTACACTTTTGACTTGAAACGATCTAACCTGATCTTTAATGGCACTTCAAAACTCTGCTGCCGATTATTTGAAATTGACACATGGGAAGGTTTAACTCTAATTTCCAGCAAGGCAAAAGAATCATTTCTCTGTGGTCTTAGAGTGGATCGATCACTTCATTCCAGAGCTGAGAGTTGAAACGCAGAATTTCCCAGGGCCCCTTTGCTCTCTGGTGCCTTCTCTGCGGAGACCGCAGATGGAACGAGAATGGCCAGTGCCCGGCTGGAACACTGAGAGGGAGGAACAGAACACCTCGTTTTAAGATGTGTTCAAGGCAGCCAAATGCCCTGAAGCCAGCACAGGGGGATTTCCGCGGCTGTCACTGAAACCACTCTTCAGTTTCTTGTGAAAAAGAAAAAGTCAAGTCTTTTCCCCCAGACTCCAGTCTGGGGATCTGTTTATTCAAAGAGCCTTAGCCCAGGCAGTCTTGCTTGCAGGACAGGCCCCCGCCAGGGCTGGGGACAGCCACAGGGTGAGGCTCCAATTTGTTTCTTCTACACTATTTGAGGTTTGCTTTCCCAGTGTTTCCCGAGAACTGTCAGGCACTTTGGGAAATTCAGCACGTCTTCGAAAGTACGATTAGTACAACAGGAATGGCTCCCGGGAGAAAAGGCTAAATCCAGCCAACCCCAAGAGCAGGCAACACGATCATAGACAAGCTAGATAATCCCGCGCAGTAAATTCCTGATACTGTACGGCCAGGGTTGGCTGACAAGTCACAGGATGAGTTGCGAGCTGCTTTTATGTTTGAATGATGTGTGCGCAGAATTAACCCATTTTATCCCCCTTGGTTGTGCAGTGTTGAGATGAGTGGCCCCCTCTGTGCATAGTGGGGAGACTTCCTCATCTCTTGGTCATGCTTTCTTTTGTGTGGTGTGTTGTGATGTATGACTTCCTCCCTCACCAGCCTTTGTACACAACTGTATGTGTGCCGGGGAAAAAGATGAAACAACTCTTTGGCAACTACCTAAAAATTGTTAAATATGTTTTTATTAATTATTTAGAGAGAGAGGAAAGGAGTGAGAGAGAGAAACATCGATGTGAGAGAGAGAAACATCGATCAGCTGCCTCCTGCACGCCCCCTAGTGGGGGTCAAACCCACAACCCAGGCACGTGCCCTGACCAGGAATCGAACCAGGACCTCTCAGTCCATGGGACGATGCTCCATCCACTAAGCCACAGTGGCGGGGCTATTTACCTAGAAATTTGAATAAGTAGGGGGAGTGAGAAAAAGAATAAAATAAGTATTTTACTTATGAGAATAAGCACTTTCTCCGTTGACTAACTTCCTTGAATAAGTCCACACATTTAATTTTTTCCCTTGCAAACTGGCATCTGTTTATGTAATAAGGCCACTGGAGAGCGATGAGTGACTAGTGTCTTTGTTCTTTTTCTTGTCCAGTTTCCCAAGACTCTTGAAACTGGGGTGATTTTAGGTCAACAGATAAATATTAAAAGCACCCTTTTACCCTGGTATCATTAGCCTGCTGGCACTAGACGATCTAAAACTTTGGCCCTGTTGAAACCCTGGGTATTGCCCAAGGGAGGGGCATTTTCTCAGCAGAGAGTCGGGCATTTCCAGTCGGTCAGCTGCACGGAAGCTCACCGAGGGCTGCGTGTTCTCTTCGTCCCTGTCTCAGCCCATTACTTCTCGAGAGGACTCTGCGACATTAGAGGGCGCGTGATAATTAAGTTTTAATAAGGAATGCTCTGATGCTGTTAAACGCTCCGTGTCCTTCCACAGACGCTAGAACATGTGAGCCCATCTCGCGAAGACGGTGACCTTTCCAGTTGTCCTCAGGAGCGGGCTACTCAGTGGGCACCCTGTGTTTTGATGTTGATCTTAGTCTTGATTGCGCAAAGAAGCTACTAATTGACAAGCAGGGGCTATTCAGCTCTGTCTGTCAGATCGCCTTGTCCATTACGGGCATAAATCTAGCCATCGCGAATGTCCTTGTGTGTTTCCTAAAGAAAAGAAGTCAGAGACCTCTGTCGTTTTATTGAAATGTCGAATAGTGAGGAAACATGGAGCTCTCTTTTGTGCTGGGGTTATAACTCCTCCAGTGACAGGCGGGGTGGGTTGTTTGCCAGGGCACATTGTAAGGGAAAGATGTCGTGAAGAAACACTCAACCCAGGGTTCACGGGCAACTATCCCACCCTTCCTAAGACACTTTAAGGCAAACCATTGAATTCACACACTGTCAGAGCCAAAAAGACTTTAGGATCTTAACACTCACTTCCTCTTTACAATGAGAAAACTGAAGGCCAGACCAGAGATGATGTCGCTTGGCCAAGGCTCTGTCACTGAAAATAGCATGCCCGCCTGCCCATGTACTAACTTGGTGATCCGTGTAATATCGTGAGGACTGACGACAGAGACATTTATTTTCCTCTGTTCTTATATATGTGAGATACCTGTGACGTAGTATAACCTGGATGACCTTCATTAATGTCACCAAACAAAAACATTGCAGAGAGTATGGGTTTGGGGCAGATCATTCGCCTTCTCTATAGAGTCCACATTCTGGGGTTAAAATCACAGGGTTGACATCTGGATTCTGCCACTTGCTAGCTGTAAGTCCCTGGTTACTTCACCTCCCTTTTCATCATATCATCTATAGAATGACGATAAGCACTCTGCGGACTCCACTGGTGGTCACATGAGAGAACCCGAAATAAATGCTTAGTGCATTGCCTAGTAATTAGAAAAATAAATGTTGTCCCAGCCATTTTGGCTCAGCGGTTGGAGCGTCAGCCTGCGGACCAGAGAGTCCCAGGTTCGGGTCCCACTAAGGGCACGTACAAAAAAAAAGAAAAAGAAAAAGAAAAAGAAATGTTAACTGTCCTTAGCAACTTACCTACAAAATTAGGAGATGGGTTGTATACTTTCTAAGGCCTTCTCTCAACATGAATATTTTATCATTAGAAAACTTAAGAATTTCCTATTTTACCCTTCCATTAATAGGTATGTGACATTCTTCTTTTATTCTCCACTGTATTTCAGAAAATATACACATGTCCTCTTCAGCTCATTAGGAATAACTCGTTGGTCTTGGCAGAGGGCAGTTAATCAGTTTGACCACTAGATGGTGATTGAACTCCTGTGGCCTCTCAGTGGGCGGGCTGTTTACTCTGACTAATTAGTAGAGGACAGAAAATGTGTAAAACATGGACCTCGCCAGTTGGAAGACCGTGGAGTCTAACTGGAAGGGGTTGAGCAAGAGGTTGGCCCTTAGAGGTGAAGTGCGGTGTTCAAGGTTACACAGCCGTTAGTCGTGAGCTTCAGAAAAGGCTCAGTCCCAGTGTAGGCCAGTGATCTGTTTTCTTCATTACACGAGCTAGAAGCACCGTGGGGTCCACGCTGCGAGGGACTTCCAGAGGACCAGTCTGTTTGTCTGCCGCACCTCTCTGATGGTTTCATAAAGGAGTTTTGAGTAGTCCAGCTGGAAACTTGGTGTTTTCTTAAGAGAAAAACATGCGGAGTGGCCGGTACAGTTTTCACACCTTCCCATTTCTCCAGTGGCCTCTCACATTCAATCTCCTTGTCCTTGGTGATATTACTGCCATCAGAGAAAGTGTACTAGGTGTGGGGGGGTGTCTCGTTAGTATACCTATTCTTCTCCTGCAGTACAGTGTGTCTGTGTGTGGTGTGTGTGTGTGCACAAAATGCCTCTTGTGAACATTTCTTTCATCCTTTCCACGAGTAACCAAACAAAACATTAAAGGATGCTCACACAGGGAAAATGGTGGTACTCCACCCAGAACCAACTTCCATATTCAGTGTTTTACGGGTAGTCTTTCTTATGAAATCTGAAATTCATGCTTCCTCGCAAATGCACGGTTCAGTAGCTAGGAAGATGTAAATGTAGACAGGAAAACATGGAGCTTGGAGGAGAAGGAGCCTACCAGATGACTATCTGTCCTCTTCAGAAAAAAAATTGTGTCCCTTTCCCAAAGTCACAGCCAATAAAAAATAGGGTCAGCGTAGGACGTGAGTCATTCGACACCAGTGTTCTGTCCACCGGCTCCACCGCTACCCTTGTTCATGCAGCTCGGAACCCCTCGTGTCAGGGCCAGATGCTGGCTCAGTGCAAGATGAAACCAGGGTACACCCTGAAATTAATTGGGCTTTACGGGTCTGTGCAAAATGACTGGGACTGTTCTCCTTACTGCAAGGATTTTGGTGCAGCCAGGAGGACCAGATGGGATACTTCATATGGTTCTGACAGCAACTGATTTTGGCTAACGGTGCTCCTGGTAGTCTTCACCCAAAAACGCATCAAACATTCACATCTTAATTATCCTGGATCAACTTAATTCGTTCTGGTAGAATGTGTATATAGCCATTATCTCTGTTGATGGAACATGCGTTACCAAATTAAGGGGTGGAATTCGAACTCAATTAGTTACCTTTCTTTGACTGACTGCATGTTAATTTTCCATCAGTGCAGTTTCCAGGCAACTCTTCATTTGGTGGCGGGGAGATGGGCACACTGCGGAGGGCGGGCAGCTGATGGCGAGGTTGGGCTGTGTTTGGCCCTGTAGCTTCCAGGAAGGTGAGGGAGCTCCGAGCAGCTTCCATGCAGCGTGTGAGATGTATGAGTTATTCATGTTGATTCCTCTCTCAGGTCCATAAAAGGTGGCTCCGATTCCTCCCTTTCTGAGCCCCGGCCAGCTCGGTCCGGCCGAGCGTTCCTGTCCAGAGTGTTCCGAGCGGCCCTGCCACTTCAGCTTCTCCTGCTGCTCCTCATCGGGCTCGCCTGCCTCGTACCCATGTCAGAGGAGGACTACAGCTGTGCCCTCTCCAACAACTTTGCCCGGTCATTCCACCCCATGCTCAGATACACCAACGGCCCTCCTCCCCTCTGAGCCGGCGGACGCTGTCCGCAGCCGTGCGGTGCTGGCAGGAACAGGAGGAGTCGGCCCAAAGCCATCCCCACCCAGCGAAAGAGGACCTGATTGTGGGCGAAGCCTGTGACGTGGCAACTTCGGCCTGTGTCCAAATCGGGGCTTCGGAGGTGGATGGTAATCTATGAAGGAGGCTAGCAAATGAAAGAAAGTTTGGGGGAAATATTGTTTGGAACTCAGAACCTCAGTACTAGAGAAATGAAGTACCTCCAGCATCTCCTGGACGTGTGTACCTGGGGCCCTGGGCCCATTGTGTGCACCTCCAGGGCTTCAGTACACCGTCCGGGCGGCTTCCCACGGTGTGCCCGTCCACCCAATAAATGACGCCACCTGAGCGCCGCATCAGTGCGGACAATCTACCAACCAACCAGTGCTGAACAGCTTTTAGAACCTTGTAACAGACCGTTTTTAAGAGCCTATACGGCAGCTTTCTTCCTACCTTGTTTTCCTTTGAGGCATGCTGTTCTAACCTTCGCTTTAGAAGCACAAGCTGTAAATCGAAAAGGCACTTTTTTTAAAAGTATAAAGAAAAACTGGATGTAATAAATAAAATCATGGAAGGATTTATGTGAAAAAAAAAAAAGAGTTGAATGTTATAGTAAAAAAAAAGATATTTATGTATGTACAGTTTGCTAAAGCTGAGTTTTGTTTGTATTGATTTCTGTGCATTTATTATAAATACTATGAAATATTTTGTCTGTGCTTTTTTTCCCCCTCCCTTAAAGCAGTGACCACCCATGTCCCTGTGGAGCAGAATGCAGTCTAAATGATCCTTTTGCAGAATGAATGAAATGGAATCATAAGTGCACATTAAAGAATAAGGATGATTAGGGGTAGCGCGTATTTAGACCCAGAGAACTCTGGCTGGTTCTCCCTCCTCCCACAGCTGTCTCTCCTCAACTCGCGTCTCAACACCTTTCATCCTTCCTTCCTTTCATCCCCTTTGCTCAGCGGGAGGAGCCTGCTACCCTGTCGGCCAAGGCCCATCCTCCCATCCTCCGCAGCCTCCCAAGGGTGAGCAGCAGCCAGGTGAACCTTCCTAGGCGCGCCTGTTCCGCTCCCTCCTTGGCTCCCAAGCCTTACATCATTTCCCATTGTCTGCCGGAAGAAATGCGTTGATCTATCATTCAAGTCCACACACAATAAGATTTGATTCTGCCCCTCTGATCCTGCCAGCGAGTGGCCCTCCGGGAATTGTTGGGAGCTCGTGGCATTTTAATCCACGACTGGATCATCGGAGGAGGAGGATTGATAGAAAAGCCGGCTTCAGGCTTCTCTTTGGGAAGCCCCGGCGGCCGGGCACATATTCCTGAGGGACGTGGCTGCTGTTCCCTGGACGCAGGAAGAGGCGGTTGTTACACATCCACGTGTATCCTGTCCACCTCGCTCCCTGCGTGGACCAGCCTGATTCTGGTAGGGATTGAATTCACAAGTCTGGCTCTAAACCAAGACTGCAAAGCACACCGGGGCCCTCGCAATGCCCTGCACTGGGCTTCCTCAGCTTCCATAACGCCTGTGGCCGGAGCACCTTGTCCCTGGGGGTCCCAGGCTTTGCAGCCCAGGCTGGGCTCTGGGCAGACCTCCTAACACCCTCTCCGGGGTACGGCCTCGGAGCTTGCATTTTAAACAGATGCCGAAGGTGACGGTAGCCTTGTTCCGTGTGGGAAAGCACCCCTACGCCGTCTCAGCTCCGTCTTTCTGTTCTCACGCTTCTCCCTCAGGGCGCGTCACACGCCACCTCCTCCTTGAAGGCTTCTCTGATCAGTGCTGCGCTGTATCGAGGAATTCTTTCTACTGAACGTTCCTCCTGTGGCATTTCTGTCGCACGAGTTCTGCTGTCTCCTGCCAGGTTCTTCTTGTCTTTCCTCCCCTGGAATCTTGTTCAGAAAACAGACTGCAGTTGTGTTCTTTTCCGAAGAAGACAAACCTGTGCATGACCTGTTTCCTGTCTTCCTGCTTCTGGAAAGAGAGAAGATTGGAGATCGGAGCTGAAAGGTGCTGTGTGCCCTCAGCGATGGGTCACCCTTCAGGCTTGTTCTTCCTCGCTTCCCTGCCACCCTGCTCCAGGCACCTGGAAAGTGTGGTCTTGCCCTAGAGCAAGCCAGCCCTTCGAGAGACGCTGCCCTGTGATGGAAGTCGCTGTGAGCGGCCGGGACCAGCACAGGGACTTCAGAGCCCTTCCCTCCTCAATGCGGTAAACTGACGTGCTGGGCACCGCCCATCACTGAAACACCAAGAAAGGAAACCAAAGTCTTTGGCTTTGCTGAAGGAAAGCCTTAGAGGACAGTCCCGCCTGTCCCTTCCTAAAAACCCTGTGCAACAGCCGACGGGAAGCACAATGCACATTCTTACCACAATTTTCAAAGACTTAAATCACAGAATACTGGAATAAAACAAAAGCAGGAATCCCCGGCGAATGTAAGCACTGAAGCGATGAGATGGTGGCTTTCCCTAGATGATGCTGTGACCAGCCTCGCAAAGACCAAGACGGCCACGGATGAGACGAGGGTTTCTGCCAGAGCCCTCACGTTCTCATTGGACCACGGAGGAAGAGGACGTGCCGGCTTAGGAACTCCCTCGCCTGCACCAGCAGCTTCCTTGGGGGGGGGGGGGGAAAGAGAGAGGGAGATTGATTGTGTCCAACTTCCTTGATGAGGCGTGGGCTTTGAAAGAATATTAAGGGGCCCTGGCCGATTTGACTCAGTGGTTAGAGCGTCAGCCCGTGGACCAAAGAGACCTTGGTTCAATTCCAGCCAAGAGCACATACCTCGTTTGTGGTTCGGCCCCAGCCCCGGTTGGGATTGTGCAGGTGGCAACCAGTCAATGTGTCTCTTTCACATCGATGTTTCTCTCTCTCTCTCTCTCTCCCCCTGCCCCCACTCTGTCTAAAGATAAATGTAAAAATATCCTCAGGTGAGGATGAGAGGAAGGAAGAAAGGGAGGGAGGGAGGGAGGAAGGGAGGGAGGAAGGGAGGGAGGGAGGGAGGGAGGAAGGATGGAAGGAAGGGAGGGAGGAAGGAAGGAAGGAAGGAAGGAAGGAAGGAAGGAAGGAAGGAAGGAAGGAAGGATGGATGGATGCTAAGGGGTAAGAGGACCACCGATGTCTGGAAGAGGCTCATTCCTGAGTTGGGCCTGCCAGGAGCCCTGCTTTGGCCTGCAGGTAGGGTGGGAGGGCCCCAGAGAGTGGTGAGTGAGGACGAGGGTGGGAGGGCCCCAGAGAGTGGTGGGTGAGGACGGGCAGGGCAAAGAGACCATCGGCTGACTGAGAAGGGTAGAATTAATACCATTTTGGTCATGAGATTCGCACAAGCAAACAAGAAATGTCAGAAAAGCTGAGGAAGAAGGAACTCGGTAAAGCCACGATGGAGAGATAACGGGTTAGAAACCGGAAGCAATGACTGAACGAGAAGCCCAGAGAGCAGTGAAGGGTCTGGGGACAGCTCTGCGGGGGGGACGGTCCCCTCCCGGAGGAGGGTGGAGCAGCTTCCCGTCTGTTTGCAGTGAGCAGAAGACACACCTTGGAAGGCCGGCTGGGAAGCCCAGCAAGCTGAGGGCAGAGGCTTACCTGGGGTGCCCTGATTTACAGTCTACGCCAATTACTAAGAAATTAAAGCTAGAAAATTTCATTAACACACCACATACGGAAAAACATAAAATTTAAAACAAGGTGGAGAGAGTTGATTTATGAAGGCTGATCGTGGCCAGAACAGCAGGGTCTCGAGGAGCTGGGCTGGAGGGGCCTGAGATGGGTCCCAACAGGGAGGTGCTCGGCCCCCCCCCACCGGTCCACCAACCCCACCCCCCAGCACGTGCACGGGGAAGTGTGTGGAAATGAAATAACCTCAGAGCAGACGCTGCCTAGTTCCAGAAAGGCCCGGAAGAGCGGCACCCACTCCCGTCACAAGTATCGTCACGTCTCAGCCAGGACCCCTGGCTCCCTGCCTGCCACCCGTGACGCAGTCCTCACGGGGCCTCGGACACACAGAAGTAGCCATGCTTCCCGGCACCAGTGATACCCTCGAACTTGGGATGAGGGCAAATGAGGAGGCTAGAAAGGGGCCGATAGAGACAGTTTCTAATTTAGGGGAGAAAGGGGAGGTCCAGTCTGTTAGATCTGTCCTAACTTCCTGCCAGCAGATGTCCTCTCCTTGCACGTCTCTGTCACTTGGTTCAGGTCCCAGTGGGACGCGCTCTGAGCTGTGCGGACGTCAGGTGCCGAAGTGGAGGCGGCGGGTGGCATCCAGGCTCCCTCCAGTGCAGTCACAGTTGTAGCGTATCCTCCAAGAACCCATTTGGGAGTAGGGGGCAGATCCCCATTCAGATGAGAAAGAGAAGAGACTGGGTGACTTGGGGGACTTCTGGCAGCCTCTGCCAAGCAGCCCGTCTGCAGGGAGGGTCCTGGCCCCTTCGCTGGGCAGAGGTGGGCCCGGACGGATTCATTTGAACTGCGTGGTAGAAGCAGCTTCTTGAAGGCGAAGGACGTTGGAAAAGCCCTAGCACATGCCGAACGAGGAGGAGTATTTCCCCTGGGGAGTCGAGGAAGCGAGCTGGGACTTGGACGTGATCTCTCTAAAATATGAAGGCACAGTAAAATGAATCAGCCTTGCAAATTTATTATTATTATTTTTTTTACCTGCTACCCAGCACAGGAACAGGAACATAACAGAATATGAAAACCCCAATTATATCAGGAGCAGAAAGTCCCCCGGGCTTTGCCACACGCTGCACCCGGTGCCGGAGGTGCTGGATCCCGGCTCTCCGGGTAGAATAGACAGCTCAGGGCCTCCTGGTGCATTCCAGGCCCCGCCCGCATCCTGCCAGACATTCCCCAGGCAGCTCCTGGGCCCGAGGGTGCCGCTGCCCAGCAGCTGCCAACATCCAAGGCAGCTCCAGGCTGCGCCCCGCCCCCACAGCCACCCAGCACATGGATTTACAGGTGCGCAGTAACTGGAGGGATGCATCCCGCTCCCAGGCAGTCCATCCGGGCAGGTGCTGCTCCAAGTGCGGTCACCTGGACTCTTAGGAATGCACCCCTCTGCTCCAGCGCTGGGCTTCCAGGCTGCCACCTGCCCAATTTCCCGTCCTGGGACCTTTTAACTCTCCCCAGCAGGCCAGGCGATGTAAGCCATTTACCCAACCACCCCCACCGGCTTGTGATGTCAGCTTCAAGCAATAGGTTTCCATATAAATCTGGATTTCTATTCTAAACTCTATCACTTGCTGTTGATCTATTTTTCCATTGCTTTCTATCATGGTATATAGTATAAGTGATTAATAATGTATATATGTATATTATAAGAATATAATAAATAATATAGAATATAAATTTGTATGACTATTAATGCACTGGTATATTATATTGGTTACTTTGTTATACATTTTAATACAAGACAAAACCCGTTTCTTCCTCTTTTTTATATATATTTTAAAAAAAATTTTTATTGATTTTAGAGAGAGAAATAGAAATATCGATGAGAGAGAACATGATTGGCTGCCTCCTGCAGGCCCCCCACTGGGGATCGGGCCCACAATCTGGGCATGTGCCCTGACCAGGAATCAAACCGGTGACCTTTGGTGTATGGGTCGACGCTCAACCAGTGAGACACACCAGCCGGGCCTTTTTTGTATATTTTTCATTTTAAAGGCTAATTGTTCAAA